AACAAGTTAAATATTGCAAAATTCACATATCCACGTAGCGAAGTAACACGCACTAAATAAAACTGCCTGGACACGGTCGCGTGAACTTCGGCCGCGATAATCGAGATACGCGGATTCACCGCATCACGGCCAGCGAACTACCGGTACTTCTTTGCCCACGCGTCGAGCCACTGCAAGCCGCACACGGCCGCCCCACCTATATCGTGCCTTCGATAGATACATTGGCCGGATAAGGAAAATGGAAGGTCTCCGGGCTATGCAAGGTAAGCTAGGAAAACCGCCACCGATCCGTGTGATAAAGTGACAAAAATCTACACCTACAGTACACCTGATGGTAAGTAGCTACTGCAGTCTATAGATACCTGCATTTAAACAAACAGAAACAGAAACAGAAACAGAAACTTTTTTATTCAATATAGATTATAAATAATACTTATTGAAAGTCACTCTTTTGCTTGATTACCACTGGTTCGGAAAAAACCTCTGTCCTGGGAAGAACCAGCAAGAAACCCAGCGGGACTTTTTTTTTAAAAAATAACAGCTTACAATCATGATGTTACACAAATTAACAACACAACAAATTAGAAATAGCTTGGTAGCGATCACCTCATTTCCAGGGGTTATTATCATCCATAAATTCCTTAATATTATAATAACCCTTTTTATACAAACTTAGTTTAATAAAGTTTTTGAACTTTGAACAGGTCAAACTTTGTATATTTTCTGGAATTTTGTTGTAAAAGCGTATACATCGCCCCAAGAATGAATTACTGACTCGATGGAGTCGAGTAACTGGTACTACTAGCTTGTGTCTGTTCCTAGTATTTACAGAATGAATATCACTTATTTTTGTAAAACTACTTTTATTTTTGTGTACGTACATTACATTTTCATAAATGTATTGAGAGTCCAAAGTTAATATATTAATTTCCTTAAATTTTTGTCGCAGCGACTCTTTAGGCTTTAAATCATAAATTGCTCTTATGGCCCTCTTTTGCAAAACAAATATAATTTCAGTGTCAGCTGCGTGTCCCCATAGCAAAATACCATACGACATTATGCTATGGAAGTAGCTGAAGTAAACTAGTCTAGCTGTTTCAACACTGGTTAGACTTCTAATCTTTTTTATAGCATATGCTGCAGAACTAAGTCTGCTTGCTAGTTTTGAAATATGGGGGCTCCATTGAAGCTTCGCGTCTAGTGTGATTCCAAGAAAAATGGTGGTATCTACAAGACTCAGTTTCTCCCCATTTAAAATTACATTAGTATTTAATTGTTTGACATTTGGAGTCACGAATTTCATACATTTTGTTTTAGTGCCATTTAAATGCAAATTATTAACATCGAACCAATTTACTAATTTAGATATAGCATTATTTACTTCGTCATATTTTAGTAATTGTCGACTTAATTTGAAAATTAAAGAAGTGTCATCTGCAAATAATACTATATCATGGTTATCCCCTACTATGTAAGGTAAGTCATTAATGTATACAAGAAACAGAAAGGGGCCGAGAATTGAGCCTTGAGGCACGCCCATTTGTACCATCGATCCGGAAGAGCTCATATTGTTAATGACAACTTTTTGCGTTCTCTTACTTAAATATGAAATAATTAATTTAAGGGCATCACTTCTTACACCGTAGTGTTGAAGTTTCCTGATTAATGTTTCATGGTGAACACAATCGAAGGCCTTGGATAGGTCACAAAATATACCCAAAGCATCCTGTGAATTCTCCCATGCATTAAAGATATATTTAATCAGCTCAACACCGGCATCAGTTGTCGAGCGACCCCTTGTGAAACCAAATTGATTTTTATGAAGTAAATTATTTATATTAAAAAAATTTAACATTTCATCAAAAACAATTTTTTCAAAAATCTTACTAAGTGTTGGTAGTACAGAAATAGGTCTAAAATTGGCGGGGTCTAATGTACTACCAGATTTAAATAAAGGTATTACTTTACTATGCTTCATTAAATCAGGAAACACACCAGATTCGATACTAGTATTAAAAATAATAGCTAAATGAGGCGCGATTGTATGTATTATAGACGCAATAACTTTAACGGAAATCCCCCACAGATCCGCAGTTTTCTTAACATCAATAGTTTTAAAATATTTTACAATATCTTTTGATGACACTTTATGAAATGTAAAATTCTTTGTACACACATTTACATTTTGTTTAAGTAATGATTCGGCGACGGCAGGAGAAGAATTCAGTGACTTAGTGGTCAAGATCGGAATATCAGTAAAATATTTCTCAAAAACCATTGCTACGTCCTGATCTGATACAGTTAATTTGTTGTTAACACTTAACTGGTAATTTGAATTGCGAGAGTTGATCTAAAATCAAGACAAACTAACTAACTAAGATCAAAGACAAAGGAGACTACAAATGCGTTGTCACCTCCGTGACTAAGATCGAATATCGCACAGCCATTAATTACTAGCTGTGAAACTTTTTTTATAGGATAGGGTGATAAAGGAGCACACAGTCCACCTGATGGTAAGTGGTTACTGTGACCCATAGAAATCTACATCTATCCTCAATAGACTCAAAATGCAGATGCGTTGTCATCCGTGAGGACTAAGACTCTTGTCCAGTAAAAAGGGTATCCGGTACATTACATCATAATTATCTTGGTTCTCTATACCATTCAGACCGAGCAGTGCAAGCACTGATATTTGGCCGCAGAAATAGATAAGAGGGTGAAAAGAAAAGAAGTCCTACCACCTAGTAAAATATTATACCGGAGTAGTTCGAAAACTTCGATACCGGGATTTAGGTTTTGACTCGTTTTTCTTGTGGCGCGACAACAGCGCCACCCGGCAATGCTCGTGTAATATCAATTATTATCGTGCGATTGCGTGACGATTTGCAGTAAATACTCCAAAGAACCCACATCGTCTATATGGCTGCCTTATTTACCTTCCCTACGGCACACCAGGTTTGTTATCAGCACAGCGCAGCGTTCAACTACCTATCAGCACCACAGCTCCAACAATATGGCCTCATTCTTCACCGTTTTACTACTAAATTTATTTTAATGTAGGTATCTGAAATCCAAAAATCCAAACCGTATTCAATCTAAAATCTAAATTTTGATTAAATATAAGTAGTAAAATATTTATTTTAGTTTTTAAAGTTCATTTTATCTGCGGTCGGTAGGCACGGTCCCCGGATTAGTATCCATCCGAATAGGTATAGGCCGACTAAGTTACCTTAAAATAATATTTTATGGATCCTGCCCACGGACGTTTCACTTACTCTATTAAGACTAGTTTTTCAGATTAATCAAACCATTCTGAAGGCTAGTTCTTATTTATTAATGGCCACTCCAATACTCTCTATTTTTTTAAGTAGGTACTGATGGAAATATTACAAGGCAAATCTACCAGGAATTTGGACATCATACCATAACTTTATTAACATGTGTATTAATTTTACAAATAGACATAGATCTTTCATTATACAGCAATATTTCCGACACTGCCCTGTATATATTATATACGTCAATGGTTTTCAATGAAGAAAAGCATAGACAGAATATACTTAGGCCGGCCACATACATGCGTAATTCCGTTTCGAGATTCCATTTCGATATTCCGATTCGGGATTCCGAACGCAGCAAGTCCATATAAAATCTATGACCCGCCACACACGTACGTTATTTTTCCGTACGGAATTTCTCCGATTCGAGATTCCGTATGACCGCCTGTGCGTTCGGGATAACGAACGGAAAAAAGCCGCTCCGAACGCACGTCTTCCATAGATTTTCGCAACACACATACGTAAATTCCGTACGGAACGCGCTAGGTGTTCGTCGCATGACCGAAACGAGTAGGTGTGTTTATGTATGTTTTTACATTTAATCTTGTAGGTGTATAGCTTTTCGTAACCTTTCATCTTATTTTATTTAATAATTCGTCAAAAAATTTACATACATAAATATTTAAAAAATATCTCTGGATAAATAGATCTTTTTACATAGTATTGACTATATTGCAAGTTTAGGGTGATAAGGGCGAGGGAAGACGGCTTTGTGGCGCAGTAGCTTAACAACGAGTTCTTGCGCTGGGGGCCGCGGGTTCGAATCTCGCACGGAACAAGTACTTGTATGACCTACAAATAATTGTTCCAGGTCTGGATGTTTGTACTCGTGCGATTTATGTTTGTAAACTGCCTCTACGACACAGGAAAAAATCCTAATGTGGGGGTAACGTTTTCTTAAAAAAAAATAAGAGGATGCACCTAGCAAGAATGATACAACAACAATGGAATTGCAATTAGAAAGTCGTCGTCATAATTCGCTGGCAGAATGTCTAGACTCAATGGCTAACGTCTCTCAACTGACCCTTAATATTCCGAACGGAAAAAAACGTATGTGTGTGATGTATTCACGGAATCCCGATTCGGGATTCCGAACGGGTCGGCCACACACATACGGAATCCCGTTTTGCCCGCAAATTTTCGAACGGAAAACAACCGTACGTGTGTGGCGGGTCATAGATTTTATATGGACTTGCTGCGTTCGGGATTCCGAATCGGAATATCGAAATGGAATCCCGAAATGGAATTCCGTATGTATGTGGCGGGCCTTACACCAGTATAATCATTCTACGAAGAAAAGAAACTCTTTCAGAAACGTTCGGAAACTGTAGCAAATAGGTAAAAATACTGTCAGTTTATACTATCGTTTCTCTTAATGAGTGAAATCTTATTAAACATCCATAGTAAATACAATATACTTTTGACATAGATATATTTTTTTCGTGTAAAGGAATAAAATAGAACGTTAATTTTATCTTATAACAATACGCCAGTAATGAGATTTCGGAACGAGTAAACGTCAAAAAGTTCATCTGCATGTGTGCGTGTGCTTTCTGCTTTCAGTCGTGAACATTCAAAATTTCACGCTGTGGGCTGTGTTGTAAATCCTTGTACCGTTAAACCCACGTAAATACGTAATTCATACAAATTAATTCACCAATGATGGCTGGGAAACTGAATAAATTTGAAACTCCCAGCTCCGCCAGCTCTGATAGGTAATTCATGTGTGCTAAACTAAATCAAATGTTTGTTTGCACAGCTGGCTAGTGTCAACAAATTTGCGTTTAAGGACATTCATCTTCAGTATGGGCTTATCCATCATCGTGTAACTACCGAGTGCATACGTGCAGTGTAGCAGTGCTCTATAAAAAAAAAACATTAATTTAGTAATAATCAATCGTAACGCCTCCTGAAAATATAACCTCATCATCCACGCATTGTGATTTATTTTTAGACATTTATTTAATACATTGACGGCTTGCTTTGCGCTGTTCCGCCGCGCAGTGAATTAAACACGTGCATTAAAATATCTTCACGTCCACAACGCATGTGAGAAATCAAAAACATTGAAACCATGGAGCCTGGCTCGTTGATCTTCCCGAAACCGTAAGAGATTTCGTAAATTGTACGTAATTGTAATAATTGAACGTCACCGTGACTAGAAATCAATAGCTTACGCATATTTTATTTCTTGCACCATCATATATGCACTTAACAATAAACTGTCACCTTAATATTTGTTATTATTTGCTCATTATAACAATACTATGATTTCTAAATCAATACATTTATACACAACAAAATAGTAAACATGGCCTTGAATTGATAAGAAAATAATACTCAGACTGATGTCTTCACTTCTCACTTTTATGTCAAGTTAATAATGATAACAAATTATTTTTAGATTGATAAAAATCTAAGGCTTTGGCAAATGAAAGTTCCTTTCAGTTCCTTGATAAATTTCTTTATAACTATTTTAGTATAAATTATAATGTAAAAATATAGCATTTGGACATTTCTCATATAAAAATTTATTATTCCTTCCTATATTAGATTATTCTTATGTCATTAATAATAATGTTCGAAATTCTTTTGATTAATGCACTATAAGGCATTAGCACATTATAAGGTAACCACAGTAGAAGGAATGTTAAAAATTTAGATGCAATTAGAAACACTAGAAATTATTTACTAGCATGACTTTTGCCTAGAATTAGATATCTGAAATTAAAAAATGCATGCTTTACATATGTATACTATCTTTACATATGTCATGATACCATGATATTGTTGATATTTACATGACGTGTGGACTTGCGAATATTTAAGGTTTATTATTGGTCAATAAAATATGTGGAAAAGCTGCTTATATCTCTTTAAATAAAAATCAATTGCTGTCCGTTACTTTTGCGAAAACCAGTATGGCTTGACCAATATCGATGAATTTTTTGTGTGTATTTAAGTGGGTCCCTGTATGGTTTAAAAACACTGACCCATTGGTGCTACAACCGGTCGGTTGGTAAGACCACTCTCTCACAGAATACCAGCGTAAAATAGCAGGTTAACGCTACTGTGTTTTGTATGGTGAGTGTAGAGAACCGGAGACCCTTTTTACTGGAAAAGAGGCATTCCATCTTAGTCCTCACGGGTGACAAAGCATCTGTATTTTGATTTGCAAACTAAGATAGATGTAGATGTCTATGGGCCACAGCAACCACTTACCATCAGGTGGACTGTGTGCTTGTTTGTCACCCTTATACTATAAAATAAAATAAGAGAGAGCCAGTATAATTACAGACTGTGCTGTATTCTATCTTAGTCTCAGAGGTGAAAATGTTTCAGCAGGTCTAGAATGGGCAGGAGACAATTTTATCCCCGGGGAAAGGAGAAAATATTTATCCCCTCGTTTAGTTTTATCCATCCTTCGAGCATGGGCATACTGGTGGATATAATATCCACAGTAGATAAAATGGGAGATAAACTTAGACTTATATAAAATTTTTGTGTGAATATAAAATTAACCTCACGTCCAATGAACTAGGATAAAATTATCCCTTTCGTATGTCATAAAGCATAATTTTTTAAACAACTAAACTAAACACTAAACAATCTAATTTAATGTAATATGTATTACTTGAAAGATACATTGTGTTTTCATGCGATGGCCAAGTCAATCTATTTAAAATATAAAAGATTTTTAATATTGATATGGTCACTTCATCACACAACATCTTATATGTTGTTAGGTTAGCTAATTACGTAATAACTTAAGACAGAAGGACCTTTAAATAGGGACTAAATAAATTAACCGACTTGGTATTACATGGATCTCACAACTTTTTACGGTAGAAGAACTGAGTTGCGAGACTTGGTTTTTTTTTTACAAGTTATGTTTTTGATGGCATATATAATACAATAGGATAATAAAATTAAAGTATAGGATAATACTGAGCAATTATTCTTTCATAAAAGTATAAAAGGAGGTCACAAATGCAAGGAAATCAGTTAATTGGATTAATAAACCTTGACATAAAATGAACATCAAAGAAATGTTAATATTGTTGACAACGTTTTAAAAATACATTTGGCCTGTATTATAATACATTTAATTAAAATGCCAATGAATCTCAGCTGTTATAACATACTTTGCATTTTATCAAGGCTATCAAAATATTTACATTTCCACTTTTGATGTAAAAATACTGGATTTCAAAACCCTGTTCTTGGATGTCTAAGTATTGTCTGTTTAACAAGTTGCATTGATATGCATACATACTTGATACATCTTGATCTTAGGCCAGACATAATGTAAGCAGAGACTACGAACTTCTATTTGGCACAATCTTAACACAACTCTTTTGCTTCTTTCACATCCATAAATCTATGCATACATGCAAGTCGGTTAAGGATACTTTTAATCTTCAATATATCTAGACTATGTCACTCACTTCTGCAGCATAATTTTTCTTAATTTTGGGGGCATCTTTTTGCTAACCACACTTTTCGTTAATCACAGAATGCATTATAATGTAATTAAGATGATTACTACTCTATACGTGGTAGAGCCATGGTGCAGCTATATTAGAAGTATAGTTGTAGCACCAGTGTAAAACAGCAGCATAACACTGCCATGTTCGGTGACGACGCATCTGCAGTTTGATTCTTTATTGGGGATAGATGTAGATGGCTATGGGTCACAACAACCACTTACCATCAGGTGGGCTGTGTGCTCGTTTGTCACCCTATCCTATTAAAAAAAAACTAAGATTTTACTATATGTTACCAAATGCTTATATTTAAAGATCATTAGAGAAACAGCCTTTCAAAAGTCCACTGCTCAACATCTTGCCCATAGATTGCCTTTTAGGATTGACATGGCAACTCGTGCCATGCTTAGCAGGTGGGTTGGCAACTACGGTACATTCTTTTAGTTGTTATTAAGAAGACTCTGCTGCTCATCTCCTGGTTTGTTTCCCTATGTCACCTACCACAACACCCATTGAACGATATGGGATAATGAATATTCTTAAACCACCACTACTTCACAATACAGATGCTATGTTAATGTAACACTGTCCATAATAACTGTAATTATAGTTCGGAAATTAGATTGGTAGTTGGAATGGAATGATAATAAAGATCAGAGATTTAAGCATGGTGTACAGATAAACCTTATTAGGTTTTTGCGACACTGTTTTTATGATTTTAAGATTTTTAATTAATTTATTAAACTGTTAACATTTGTTCTTTTTTTTGGGAAATAGATATATTATGTATGATAAATTATATAAGACAATTTTTCTAAAAAGTTGTTATATCACACTATGTTAAAAAATTAATATATTTTGTATGTACCTTTAGTATACTCAGTCTCGTGATACATATTTTAACAGTGGTAGAGCTAAGCGGTAGCTTTTGCTGTCGCACGGATGGGCCAGCTCGAACCGGGGTGGTACCACGACCTCACAGAATACCAGTGTGAAGTAGAAGTTTACCTCTGCGTTGCGATTGGTGAGTGCAGGTGGCCGGAGGCCCAATCCCCCTCCCCCCCCCCCGCCCCATCAACATGGTAGTGGAATTAAATAAAAGACTATCCCAGGAGGGTACCAGCACCCCTGGAGAATCCCTCGCTGAGAATCCACGACCAAACTACTTCAGTCCTGACTGTGGGTGTTCTGGCTGCCCCGCGTATACTGGGGGGGGCAAAATTCCGCTCGCGACTAATGCTGCTCGGGGCAAGTGGAGCAATACAACCAAGGCGACCCCTGTCACGCTATCCGTGAATTTTTGCAACATCAAGGGACTTCATTCCAACCTTAACGCTGTCCATTACCATCTAGACACGGCAAAGCCGGCCTTGCTCTTTTTAACCGAGACTCGGGTGTCCTCTCCGGCTGATACTTCATATCTCTCCTACCCGGGGTACAAATTGGAACACTCCTTTGTGCCCCGGGCTGGAGTTTGCGTATACGTCAGAGAGGACATCTGTTTTCGACGCCTCGGCAGTCTTGAAAGTACGGACCTGTCCATCCTATGGCTGCGCGTAGACAGCGACGACCATCCCCGCGTCTACGGGTGCCTCTATAGGTCCCATAGCGGTAATGCCGACACAGACCGACTCATCGACCACGTCCACATGGCTGCAGACTCCGTGCTACAACAGGTCCCATCCGCAGAGATCGTGATACTCGGTGATTTTAACGCCCACCACGCTGAAAGGCTTGGTTCTCGTTTAACCGATCATGCGGGTAGATCTGTCTATGACTTTGCTTTGGCATATGGTCTAACACAACTGGTTACTTCGCCTACGCGGATCCCAAATGTGGAAGACCATGTAACTTCCCTGTTGGACCTTCTGCTGACCTCTCATCTGGACGGATATCAGGTCTCCGTCGATGCCCCTCTGGACTCTTCGGACCATTGTCTGATCCGGAGTACGGCGCCACTCACGCTCCAGTCGCAGTTGCGATCTGCAGCTTGCCGCCGTGTTTGGCACTATAGCTCAGCTGATTGGGACGGGATGCGGTCTTTTTTGCATCCTACCCTTGGGGGCGGGTTTGCTTCTCGCCGGAAGATCCCAGCGTTGTTGGCGATTCTGTTGCTGATGTGGTACTTCAGGGTATGGAACATTTTATTCCATCCTCTGTGGTGCCCATCGGAGGCAGATCCCAGCCATGGTTTGGTCGCTCCTGTAAAATAGCATCACGCTATAAGCAGGAGTGCTACCGGGCCTGGGCTGACGCATCAACGTCTCGGGATGTAAACACCAGCGCACTTAAAAAGAAGTATAATTCCGCCTCCAGGTCCTTCAAAAACGTCATTGCCAAGGCAAGGTCTGAGCACATCGGCAGAATTGGCGAGAAGCTAGTTCGCCTTCCTTCGGGAACCCGTGCATTCTGGTCTCTCGCCAAGGCTGTCCAAGGGAACTTCTGTCAGCCATCTCTTCCATCTCTGCACAGAGAGGACGACTCACTGGCCCATGCCGCAAAGGAGAAAGTCGATCTGTTGAGCTCTCTTTTTGCGTCCAACTCGACTCTAAATGACGGGGGGAACACACCGCCGATCATCCCGCGATGTGAGTGCTCCATGCCGGATGTGCGATTTAAGCAGCGCTCGGTTCGCAAAGCACTCTTCTCCCTGGACGTCAGCAAGTCGAGTGGGCCCGATGGAGTCCCTCCCATTGTGCTGAAGACGTGTGCTCCGGAGTTGGCACCGGTTTTAACGCGTCTTTTCCGGTACTCCTACTCCCAAGGCGTAGTCCCGAATTCATGGAAGACAGCTTTGGTCCACCTGATCCCTAAAAAAGGCGACCGCTCAGACCCGTCCAACTACAGGCCTATTGCCATCACCTCCTTGTTCTCTAAAATAATGGAATCCATTATAAACTGCCAGCTCATGAGGTACCTTGAAGATCACCAGCTGATTAGTGACCGCCAGTACCGTTTTCATCGAGGTCGATCAGCTGGTGATCTTCTAGTCTATCTGACACATAGATGGGCGGAGGCAGTAGAGTCCAAGGGGGAGGCATTGGCAGTTAGTTTGGACATACCGAAGGCCTTCGATCGGGTCTGGCACAAAGCGCTTCTTTCGAAGCTTTCTTCCTATGTGCTTCCCGAGAAATTGTGCAAATGGATCACCAGTTTCCTTGCTGATCGGAGCATCAAGGTCGTAGTAGACGGTCTGATTTCAAGCCTATCAACGCTGGTGTTCCACAAGGCTGTGTGCTATCACCAACGCTGTTTCTTCTGCATATCAATGATATGTTGCTAACTGGTAGCATTCATTGCTATGCAGACGACAGCACTGGTGATGCCTTATATACCGGCCGTGCCAATATTTCTCGGGAAAACGTCGCTGAGTACCGGGACAAACTTGTGTCTGAAGTCGAGTCTTTGCTTAATAGTCTCGGATTGGGGCCGACTAAATCTAGTCCAGTTCAATCCCCAGAAGACACAATTTTGCGCGTTTACCGCTAAAAAGAACCCCTTTGTCGTATCTCCTCAGTTTCAAGGCACTCCCCTTGCTGCCTCAGCTAGTATCGGAATCCTTAGCGTCGTCATATCGAATAGTGTGCAGTTTCGTGGTCACTTGGAAGGGAAGGCCAAATTAGCCTCTAAAAAGCTTGGCGTGCTCAGCAGAGCGAGACAGTATTTCATGCCGGCACATCGCTTGCAACTTTACAAAGTGCAAGTTCGGCCCCACATGGAATACTGTTCTTATCTCTGGGCCGAGGCACCCAAGTGCCAGCTCCTTCCACTTGACCGCATCCAGCGCAGAGCGGTTCGAATCGTCGACGACCGAGTTCTTTCTGATCGGCTCGATACACTGGCACTGCGTAGAGATGTTGCATCTCTTTGCGTATTTTACCGCATCTATCACGGGGAGTGCTCTGAGAAATTGTTCGGACTAATTCCAGCCGCTCAATTTCACCATCGCACATCGCGACAAAACTCGCGTTACCATCCATACCATCTGGATGATTGGCGGTCCACCACTGTGCGATTTAGAAGAAGTTTTCTCCCTCGCACAACTTCCTTGTGGAATCAATTACCACCAGCGAATTTTCCGGACGGATACGACTTAGGAACCTTCAAGAAAAGAGCTTACACCTTTCTAAAAGGCCGGCAACGCATCTGCAATTCCCCTGGTGTTGCGGTTGTTCATGGGCGGCGGTTGTCACTTACCATCAAGTGAGCCGCATGCTCGTTTGCCCCCTCTTCTATAAAAAAAAAATAATATAAAATTGTGTTGTTTTTGAAGGTTATTATTTTCTCACGTCAGTATAATAGTATTTCGGTCTGGCAAATATCCTCCGTTTTTAGGATTGCGTACCCAGAGGGTAACCAACGGGCGGGACCCTATTACGAAACCTCCGCTGTCCGTCCGTATGTCTGTCAGCGGGCAGACAGATGCACAGTAATAGGTAGACAGTCGAAATTTTCACAGAATGTGTATATCTGTTGCCGCTATAATAAAATATAATAAAAATTAAACGGAGCTTCCCTACTAGAAACATTTGTTACAGTGGTACAGAACCCTTCATGGGCGAGTCCGACTCGCTTTTGGCAGGTTATTATTATTTATTTATGTTCATAACTGATGCCTGTTTTCATTTTACATTTCTTAATTGACTTTAAAGTATGATGGTTAATAATACAATTGTATTTTTAATGTAGGATTATAGAAAGAAAGAATGTAAAATTTATTTCGCCCCACAATGACAACGCCATATTTTACATAATATATCCCATACATGTTTATTAAATAATATCACAGCTCATTAATCACATGAGATCATAACTGAAGCTTTTTTAAAGTTCAATTATCGTTAATTTACGTTGTAGCGATATGGAGCTTGCCTTGGAGCTGAGTGAGCAGGTGTTCATCGACGAAGACGACTACACGCGCGCCCCGGCGTCGCCCACCACCGTGCCCAATGTTAGACCCTACCGCCCACCCTCCACAGGTAACACACATTTATAATGGCAAGCCATGCGTCGTGGATCTTAATTTTATGAATTCATTTTCATAAATACTATGTGGGAGACATATCTAATGATTGTTTTTATAGAATAAGGGTGACAAATAAGCACAAAGTCTACGTGGATGCTGTGGCCCATAGTAATCTATATCTAAATTTAATTAAGAATCAAAATGCCGATGCGTTGTCACCCGTGAGGACTAAGATAGAATGCCTCGTTTCCAGTAAAAGGGGTCTCCAGTTCTCTACACCAGGGTTGTTGCGGATGCAGAATTTTTGACATCCGTGAATACGGATGCGGATGCGGATTTTTAGAGGCTCACATCCGCGGATGCGGATGCAGAGTTTAAGTTTTTAGGAAAGGTCGTAGGTTCGAATCCGCCATTCGACTACTGTCGTGAACCACTTCTAACACAAGCATTTTAAGCTTACCAGAAGTGGTTAAAGGGAATATTAGTAATGTTTAATCGCATTACTAGTATTTTTTTTAATTTATTATTTATTAATAAAATTTTGTTTTAAGTTACATTAAAAAACTATTTAATGGAAAGTGAATATCGCAGCTTTATCAGCCTTCAGCCGGTTTCTTAGTGGATCGTAGATTAGCACAGCGCAACTAAATAACTGTTCACTGGGAACGCTGTACGGTGCAGGTGATAAGTACTTGCGTGCACACCCAGAGAGATTTTTCGATTCTCCTCTATTTACTTTCCATCAGGTCAGTGAATTTTGATTCACATCCAGTCTTTTTACTGCCGATACATTACCAACTCTTTCTTTAAAAGAGCATGCGGTTTGTCATGTGTTTCTTCTTGACCTTCATGTTCGTCGAAAATGAACGTCTAACATCAAGGGAAGATTGACAATATCCAGACCCGGAATAATTATTTGTAGGCCATATAAATACTAGCTCCGTGCGGGATTCGAACCCGCTGCCCTTAGCGCTGCAACTCATTGAAGTAATTTTTATATTAATTATTAACGATAGTAAAACATGAAAAATAACTTCAATCAAACTAAACATTATAAACTACTATGAAAACCGGCAAGTGTTTTTAACCGAAAGGAGGTTGATATTTTTTGTTTTTTAAATTGCTTAAAAATACCGCTTTTAAGTAAAATATCAAATAAATCGTGTGTAAAATACTCGTAGTCATAAAATAAATGATAATATCTCATTGAACGTCTTCCTTTTTTTAATTAAAACTTTGAATTATATCAATAAATACAAAATATAAAAGTTAGGGGACAGTAAACTCGTGTTCCCATTTGATTAATTTTTAGAAAGTGTGCCTGTAGCTGAGAGTTACTTTTCATCTAGTCTGATTGTAAGTTTTTATACTTATAAAACTAGATTGAAATTCCAATTTACCTGTATCATCTGTTTTTATTCTTCAACTGGTTTTCGTTATTCGAGCTTTCGATCAAAGTAAATTCTTCTGGGTGCATCGATTTAAGATAATTTTCAAAGAAGTTGTGGTACGTCCCTTTCGTTAGTAATTTTTTTGAACTTATGCCGATCACTTTCGTCTAATTTAAAATAAGTCAATCAAATCAATCAATAAGACATTTTTTTTTTCACTTTTTCAAATTTATAATTTATACAACGAAATATTTATGGAACACACAATAAACTTAGTCAAACAGAGGAAACAAACGTTGTGACTGACACTTCCTGAATTACAGCGATCAAATAAAACAAATGTTGTATTATGTATATATATATATATATATGTATATATATATATATATATATATATATATATATATATAAATGTTGGATCATGTCACTATATGTGCATTCTCATTTTATGATCGTGTCGTGACTTGCTCCACATCTGCATCCGCATCAAAGATCCGCATTGATTTATGCGGATGCGGATGCAGATGTCTAAATCAATGCATATGTTCCACATTTGCGGACTCACCATACGAAACACAGCAGTGTTAAGCTGCTATTTTACGCTGGTATTCTGTGAGAGCGTGGTCCTCCCTCGGTCGAGCCGACCCATTCGTGCTACTACTATACTACTAATATAGCTGCAGCATGGCTCTACCACGTATATTGCATGCCTTAAGCGCAAAGCGCGTAGGTATGTTCTACTAGTGCCTAAAAATCAAGATTCCGACGTTTGTCGCATGAAATCGTTTCTAATGTGGTAATGTCTATGGGCCACAGCAACTACTTACCATCAGGTAGACTGTGTGTGTGTGTTGTCACACTTATCCTATAAAAAACATTTATGTTTAATCATGCCTTATTGCATGCAATTAACCCCCTCAGCTCAATAAAAAGCAGTTATTTTGATATTGCAGACAGATACTTCAATTTTATTTATATGTATTGATGTATAGATAAAAAATATTAGTGTTAAACAAAAGTCATGATATCGATTCTTAAATCTTAATATATGCAAAAGTTCAAATTGTTAAGATAACCAGAAATGGAATAAAACTGGTTAACAAATTTCCACTAAACATAAGAACATAAACATAATATGTCATAAGGTCAAGCTAATAAAAAATGTAATTAATTGGACTTCATTCTTTCTTAAATTAGTTTTATCTAACAACCCGTTTACATGTCAACACAAATTGAACGATTTGTATCGAAATCGTTTGGTTTCCAAAACTTGTTGTAAAACGTGTTTGTTCTTTGAAATGTCAATGTTTACACATATTGTTTGACAGCGCAAACGTAACGGTGCGTACACATTATATAACATAACATGTTATAAAACGTTATATAACATGTTTCAGTAAAGTAATGGCTAAATGTTATAAAATGTGTTATATAACGTGACACAAATGTTATATAACTAGAACGGCAGGACAACAAACGACAATGTCATATAACATTGTTATATTGCATTGTTATTCTAATGTGTACAGTATTGTTATATGTTGCAATGTTCAAAAATGCCGCCTGATGTTAAATGGATGCTGTGGCCCATGGACATCTACATCTATCCTCGATTAAGAGTCAAAATGCATATTCGTGTCACCCCTGACGACTAAGATAGAATTCATCATTCGCAGTAAAACACGGTTTCCGGTTCTCTACACACACCATACGAAACACAGGCTCTCACAGTGTACTATTCTGTGACAGCGTGGTCCTACCCCGGTCGAGTCTAGTCGACTCATTCGTGCTACAACCATAGTATAGCTGCAGCGTGGCTCTACTACGTTAAGTAAAAATACGATTACATTGACTAAAAGCTGAATTTAAAAAAAATCTATGTCATTGTTTACCAGTGCAAACACACGGTAAGATTAACAGTTGAATCTGAAATACAATTTTTTATTTTTTGCAAGAAATTCTAACTATTGCTTGCAAATGCTAGTTGTAACAAAGGTGTTCTATGATAACTTGTTTTAACTAGTTTTGACTGTAAAATTAATATACGAGCTCTGTCTGCGAAGGGACCGTTGGACACTGTTCAGGCTTAACATTAACACCATATCTAACAGGATATCTCCCCTCTCTTCAACAGCCAAATCGTCACTAGGCTAAGTATTTACCATGTATGTGACAGTATTTAAGACTGCTACTATGTGGGATTTTTAGGCATGTAATTACTCTTCCAAATACGTTATAACTTTTTTTTGGTAGAGCCATGCTGCAGCTATATTATGGTTGTAGCACGAATGAGTCGGCTCGACCCATTCGTGCTACAACCGGTCGGTTGGTAAGACCACGCTCTCACAGAATAACAGCGTAAAATAGCAGCTTAACGCTGCTGTGTTTCGTATGGTGAGTGTAGAGAACCGGAGAACCTTTTTACTGGAAACGAGGCATTCAATCTTAATCCTCAGGGGTACAATGCGTTCGCATTTTGATTCTTAACTGAAGATAGATGTAGATGTCTATGCGCTATGGGCCACAGAATCCACTTACCGTCAGGTGCAGTGTGCTCGTTTGTCACCATTATTCTATAAAAAAAATTGACGAAATTTTAACAGTGCGATGTTGTGATGATGTGTCCCATGTCGGTCTAAGACTTACAGGTCCCATGTTTTTAAGGACATAACAAAAAAGATTATGCCAACTGTGTTACATGCCTAGCATGTCGTATAAGGTGGTCTAGCTATCTTCTAATTGTTTAACAGTTATCCATGTAAATCCATTTTTTTTTTTTTGGTTAAACGTTGTCCGAGGAACTCACTGCTCTTTGGACTCTGCCTACCCCCTCGGGAATACCAGGCGTGACGTTATGTATGTATTTATGTACGTAAAGCCGCGTCTCCACCAAAGTTTTCTTGCCAACACAACAGTTGCCAACACGTGTTGCCAACAAATGTTTCTGTCAACAAGCGTCTCCACCGAGGGAACAAATGTTGGCAACAAGCGTATTCCTTTGATGTTGCCGCCGAAAATGGAAACAAGTTTTTTGTTGTGTTGGTAACAAAACTTTGGTGGAGACGTGGCTTTATGTTTAAAATTTCTATTGCCAATTTCGTAACACTGAGAAAGGTATTATTTTATGGCAATTCTCATCTTATGTCCAATTACTCAAACGCTACTCAATTTTAAGACGCCGTTAAGTATCGTGCTGTCTCTATCACTTTAAGTCAAAGTGAGAGTGATACCACTAGACGACACATCGAAAACCGTTTAAGCGGGCTATCGCTGGACTGATCCGAGTTAGTACATAATTTCTATAAAAACTTAAAAAACGTCGTCATAAGGTCTAAAATTGCATAGCGCCCGCGACGAATAAGACCGCATAGAAATCCCTTAGAATCTTAAAATTTAAAATATTGGTAATTCCAATTGGGCATACCTTAAGCGCATTAAAAAAATTACGTATAACATGATTATACGGAATTTTTAAAGTAGTTTAAATACATTTCGACAGCACTATCGGCTTCAACACCCTCGAAAACCATGAAAATGAACACCCATGATGAAAAAGTTAATACCTATTGCAGCCGCCATCTTGGATTTACATTTCGACAGCACTATCGGCTTAAACACCCTC